AACTATAATTGAATTCAAAATAAAAAGAATAAAGAAAAAAATAAAACAATTTGTTATTAAGTATAAAGAAAGTATGTTGTGTTCAATTAACTAAAAAAATTAAAGATGAGATTCGAGCCCGGATCATCCAGCAAACAAGGGAATTGAAGCGCCCAGCATAACCACTTCTTCCTTTCGCCTTTTAGTGTCAGGGGGCATAAGTAAAATATTTAAGAGGTTCTATATATATGTACAGATATATATAACGTATATATACAAGGTTTTTTTCGAGACTAACGGGGTCCCGTGACCCCTCTACATGCAACATTGGTCCGCCTCTATGCATATGTAAGTTGCAAAACCAATTGTAAACTCTTGTAAAGCCTCGTACAGAACATAATTCAATAATTGCGTTGTTTTACGCTATCATGTCCATTTTATTAATTACAATATTAAATAGCAAAGCATTAATTTAACAATAAATTAATGTAAAGTCTATAAGTCATGCATTAATACAACATCATATAAATAAATTTATTGTAGTTTCATATGTGTAGTGTAGTCACAATTGTATTATTTTAGCTACATAATTATTTGTACCATAATCAGAGTTTGCTCGAAATTGCATTAAAAGGTCATTATAATCATTGGTTTAACTTTATTTCTTTTCCTTTTCTCTGAAATACTAATATTTATTCGTATATTTTCTTTTGTATGCCAAACCATTGGAAGCAAACATGGATATCCCACAAAGTAAACATGGATCAAAGTTTAATTGTAAAAATATTTGTTTAATTGTTTCATGTACGACACATACTATATTCAAAGAGAAGAAATATTTCTCTCATTTAAGTATGTGTAAGGCAGATGTTACTACAATTTCTGGTAGTAGTAATTTAATTGAAGGCTCTGGAAGAGTTACTATCACTCTGCCTAAGGGAACAATGCTTATCATAGATAATGCAATGTTCTCCTCCAAGTCCAAGAGGAACTTGTTGAGCTTTAAAGATATCCACCGAAATGGATATCATATTGAGACAATAGATGAGAATAACTTTGAATATCTCATCGTTACCAAGAATGTCTCTGGACATAAAAGGGTTATTGAGAAGTTCCCATATTTGTCTTGTGGCCTGTATTGGACAAGAATTAGTGCAATTGAGGCACATTCTATTGTAAACCAAAAGGTTACTGATTCTAATACTTTTGTACTTTGGCATGATCGATTGGGACACCCTGAATCAATTATGATGAGACGAATTATAGAAAACTCAAATGGGAATCTATTAAATAATTTAAAGATTCTATTAAACAATAAATTTTCTTGCACTTCTTGTTATCAAGGCAAGTTAATTATTAGACCATCACCAACAAAGGTTGGGATCGAGTCCCCTGCATTTTTGGAACGTATATAAGGGGACATTTGTGGACCTATTCACCCACCTAGTGGGTCGTTTAGATATTTTATGGACTTAATAGATGCATCTTCTAGATGGTCTCATGTGTGCCTATTGTCATCTCGCAACCTCGCGTTTGAAAAATAAATGGCACAAATAATTCGATTACCGGCGCAATTCCCCGATAATCCAATTAAATCTATTAGACTTGATAATGCTGCTGAGTTTTCATCCCAAGCATTTAATGATTATTGTTTATCAATTGGGGATAAAAGTGGAACATCCTGTAGCTCATGTTCACACTCAAAATGGCCTTGTAGAGACTTCAATTAAACATCTGCAATTGATAGCAAGACCGTTACTCATGAAAATGAGGTTACCCACTTCTGTTTGGGGTCATGCCATTTTTCATGCAGCAATGCTAGTTCGTCTCATACCGACAAACTAATCATAAATATTCCCCGTTGCAATTAGTTTCGGATCATGAACCTAATATATCCCATTTACAAATTTTTGGATGTGTAGTATATGTGCCTGCAACACCGCCATATCGCACCAAAATGAGTCCCCAAAGAAGGTTAGGAATATATGTTAGGTTTGAATCGCTCTCCATTATTTGCTACCTTGAAACATTAACGGGAGATTTGTTCACTGCTCAATTTGCAGATTGTCGATTCGATAAGACACTTTTCCCAAAATTAGGGGGAGGAAATGAAGAAACCAAACGGAAAATCTTGTGAAAAAATCCATCATTGTCTCATCTTGATCCACGTGCCTCTATTTGTGAAAAAGAGGTGCAAAAGATTATCCATTTGCAGATAATAGCAAATCAAATGCCAGACGTATTTAGGGATCTGAAAATGATAACAAAATCACATATCCCTATAGAGAATTTTCCAATCCGTATTGATGTCACTATTGGACAATCTTCTAATGTCATAGCTAATGAGTCAAAAGCGCGCTTAAAACGTGGTAGACCATTGGATTCTAAGGATCGAAATCCTAGAAAAAGGAAAACAAATGATCAAGATGGCACTATGAAAGGGCCTCATGAAGAAATACATGATTTAACCAATCCTGAGATTCATGAGGAAATCAATGAGCCTGAGACTCAAGAAAATAAGGAACTATCAATAAATCAAATCAATATTGAGACAAATTTGAATCGATTGGATATAGTGGTGGATTATGTCTTTGCGTATAACGTTGCATCTAGCATTATGCAAAATTGTGAGGATCTTGAACCTCAATCTGTTGGAGAATGTCGACAGAGACGTGATTGGCCAAAATGGCAAGAAGCAATCCAATTCCAGTTGGATTCACTTGCAAAACGTGAAGTTTTTGGGCCTGTAGTCCTAACACCTAATGGTATTAAGCTTATTGGCTATAAATGGGTCTTTGTACGTAAAAGGAATAAGAAAAATGAGGTACAAAGATATAAGGCACGCCTTGTTGCACAAGGATTTTCACAAAGGCCTAGTGTTGATTATGAAGAGGCGTATTCTCCTGTTATGGATGCTATAACGTTCCGTTATCTCATTAGTTTTGATGTCCATGAAAAGCTTGACATGCATTTAATGGACGTGGATACAGCCTACCTTTACGTCTCACTTGATAATGAGATATACATGAAAATTCCCAAAGGATTTAAAATGCCTTACGCACATAATTCAAAGTCCCGGGAAATATTTCCAATCAAATTACAAAGATCTTTGTATGGTCTAAAGCAATCAGGAAGAATATGGCATAACCGCCTTAGTGAGTATTCATTAAAGGAAGGTTTATATAAATGATGTTATTTGTCCATGTATTTTTATAAAGAAAATAACATCGGAATTTGTTGTACTTGCCGTATATGTCGATGTCACAAACCTTATTGGAGCTCCTATAGAACTCCAAAAGGCAATTAATTATTTAAAGAAGGAATTCGAGATGAAAGATCTCGGAAAGACAAATTTATGTCTCGGTTTGCAAATTGAACATTTGGCAAACAGCATTTTTGTTCATCGATCTCCCTACTCAGAAAAGGTATTAAAACTTTACATGGATGGAGCACATCCATTAAGTACTCCGATGGTAGTTTGATCACTTGATGTAAATAAGGATCCATTCCGACCTCAAGAAAAGATTGAAGAGCTACTTGGTCCGAAGTACCATACCTTAGTGCAATTGGTGTACTAATGTATCTTGCTAATACAACAAGGCATAATATAATTTTTTCAGTTAATGTCTTAGCAAGATATGCTCTGCTCCTACAAGGAGACATTGGAATGGAATCAAACATATATTGCGGTATCTAAAAGGGACTACCGATATGGGCTTATTTTATGGCAACGTATGCAGTCCCAATCTTGTTGGTTATGCTGATGCTTGGTATTTATCCAACCCACACAAGGCTCGATCTCAAACAATCTATGTGTTTACCTGTGGAGGCACTGCCATAACTTGGCGATCGACTAAGCAATCAATCGTGGCTACTTCATCTAATCATGCTAAGATAATTGCTATTCATGAAGCAATTCGAGGATGTGTGTGGTTGAGGTCTTTAATACATCTTATTCGAGACAAATGTGGTTTGAAATGTGACAAACTACCCACGATTTTGTATGAAGACAATGCAGCATGCATAGCCCAACTGAAGGGAGGATTCATAAAAGGAGATAGGACAAAGCACATTTCACCAAAGTTATTTTTCATACATGATCTTCAAACGAATGGTGATATCAATGTGCAACAGATTCATTCAAGTGATAATATGGCTAATTTGTTCACAAAATCTCTACCTACATCAACCTTCAAGAAACTAGTGTACAAGATTGGGATGCGAAAGCTCAAGGATGTGAATTTGATGCTCTTATCAGGGGGAGTTAATACGCGTTGTACTCGTTTTTCCTTACAAGGTTTTATCCCACTGGGTTATCCTTGCAAGGTTTTTAACGAGGCAACCAAAAGGCGTATTTTTAAACATGTGTACTCTTTTTCCTTCTCTAGAATTTTGTTTTCACTAGCTTTTATTTTAGTTAAGGTTTTAACGAGGCACATTATATTTTGAATAGACATTCAAGGGGGAATGTTATAAATAGAATTGTATTTAAGGTGAATGTCTATATTTTAGAAAGATTTTACGGATTTTACTTGGTGGATAAGTCACTCTTTCCCTATAAATAGAGGGTCCTATTCCATTGTAATTCATTCCAAAATCAATAAGAACTTCCTATTCCATTGTAATGCATCCCAAAATCAATAAGAATTCTCTCTCTTTTCTCAGTATTCTTTTATTGTTTTATTTCAGCATTGAAATATTTCTATATTATTCTTTTGTACTTCACTAAAAGTGGTCTTACAAAATTAGCAAAGTATTCCAAATATTAAGATGGTATTGTGACATGATTTGCAGAATTTAGGAGGGCAGGATGGAGCTTTATCCAAAATAAATTTGGAAAGTCCATAAAATCGTTAGATAGCCAGTCCATATTTTTAGACATTTTCTTAACGTGTTCAACTTTATTTTTTTTTCTGAAATAACGAATTAAGAAGTAAAGATGATTGATGAAGACATGAAGCTATTCATTCTATAACATTGTCCATATTAGCTACAACATCACTAATACTACGCAACTGTACTGAAAAGAGCAACAACAATCTCACTTAACCACTGAGGCAAAGGTTCAGTAAATCAACATTATTTGATATGTCACAGTTTTCACATCTTTATTGATTCTTTGACCCAAAAATGCATCTTCATCACCAAAATGTTGTTTTTCCAAAGATTATTACAAATGATAGAGTTTTTAAGTTCGAGAGAAGTGAGAAAAAATATGAACAACCCCTGTCAAAACTTTAGCCTACATGAGGGCAAAATGAAAAAGAACAACGGTTTTGGAGAACTATAACATGAACAGTAGTAACAATTGCTTTCTAAATCCAGCTGAACAGCTAGAAATTTTGAAGTACTATATCTTGCAAAGCAATTGAAGATGGCAGAAAACTGATTTTCTTCTGCCTCTTAAGTTCAGTCTTATGTGGCGAACCTCCAAATAATTCGATGCAGCAGCACCTTATGACTTTTTTGATTCTTGAACCCTTTGCATGCATCACAGCGTGGAGGAGATTACCTGATACGACCTTCCACTATGCGCGCTATCTGTGCTTAATATGAGCCTTAGACTTCCAAATCTTCAACCTCAGAGCTCATCACAAAACTAGGAAATGCTAAAGTTATGTCCCTATAATAAAAGCAAGGTAACTTGTTATAACAACAACCTACTCAAAAGTTTCTTTATAAAATGTAACTAAATGCTTTATAACTTACTTCAGATATGGAAGGGTCATATTCTTTAGAAGAGAAGGATTCTTTGAAACAAACTCCTTCCATTCTTCTGGATCTATCTTTCCATCACCCAATTTATCTGCTTCACTGAATGTCTGGTGCACAAGATAATATTAGGCGGTAAATTAATATGAAGAGCAAAAAGGCACATAAACGTCTGAGCAAAAGATAGAGTAAAACATTCAACCTTATCTACAATCATTTCAACTACATCATCTGAAAGGACCAGGTCCGATTCATGCAGCAGTGCCAAAACCATCTCTTTCAGCTGCAAGTAAAACAAAGAAGCAAATAAACTATTAACTCCGCCAAATCGTACTCTTGCACCTCAGAGTAACATTAGAATTTCTTTCTTTTTTTCTTTTGGATGAGACCTAATGCTCATGACAAGGGGAGCATAGAGTAAACCAGTACAAGTACGGTTGCAACACGTACCTCTTCTCTCTCAATATAACCAGTTTGCCTTAGATCATATAATCGAAAGGCAACTGCAGAAAAAAATTCCACCATACACATTAATAATGTCACAAAAGAGGTAAATAAGATGTTTAGAATTCTAAAACTGTAGAGAATGATAAATAGGTGTTAGAGAGTGAATATAAGGCATCAAAATCGTTCTATACATGCAATTTTATCGGCTACTGGTGCATTTGGGTGGAAGACGCTCAATGATCTGACAAATTCTCCAAACTCAATCACTCCATTGCGCTTGTAATCAAAGATATCAAAAATCTGCAAAATTCGAGGGAGAAAAAAAATACTCAGCAGGTATAAGTCAGATTAATGCAAGACATAGAACGGTTGAGTTTTCAAATGAAGCAGAAATAACTGCAACATAACCAATGTTGTAGCTTGGCTGCAAGTTTTAATGCTTAATCAGAAATGCAGAGAATTTGGAAAAACATCTACATGGACAATTTAAAGGAAAAGTGAGTCAACAAAACATACCCTGTCTGCAAACAGATTTCTTCTGTTTTGGTTCCTGAAAAGTGCCAGCTGAAGTTCTTCCTAATGACAGAGTTGCATAGAAGTTAATAGGTAACTGTAACATATTCTAGGCCTCAGCAACAAGTCAAACACTTGGTAAATTATAAATGTTTAACCATAATAACGCACCATGATAACGTTAATGCTAGTGGCAAGCAGTACATAAATACCTTGTGAATGAGTCCATCATCTATTATAGAGCTGCTTATTTTCTTAAACAGCTCGTATAATGCTTCAACTTCACTCACTGTAACTGCAATATAACATAACATTGAAAAGTTCATACAGAATGATTAATTGGTTGTTTGGATTGGATAAAAGCAGACCATAACTTAATGGAAACCATGGCTTATTATATGATTCTAGCACGTTTAATTACATGCTGCATATTTCACAGTGAAGGTCATAATGCTGAACTATTAGTTCCATCATCATATTCGCAATGCAGACTTACCTCTCTTTCTTAGCACAAGAATTGTTTTCATAACTTTTTTCAGAAGACAATTTGTAAGCTTTTTGTTGACTACTGCCCTCAAATATCGCATTGATACAATGCTACAGAAACTCTTTTGGTTATTTGATACGCTTACTTTCTAAAATCTAGAGAAGGAAGTTTTCATTCTGAGGCTTTTGTTTTCCATTTTTGATTAAAATTTTCCATTCTGAAGCTCAATTATATTATTCCGTTGTTCCTTCATTAAATACTCTGGCAGTACACAGTTTGTTGGAGAGGGAAGAGAAGATGCGAACAATTCTATAGGATTATTCATATGCACTTAAGGGGTTTGAGCTCTTCTTGCTGTGTAGGAAGAAAACCATATCCGTTTATAGCCTTCTGGTATTTTCCTTTAGCAAGAGGCCCAAGCTGTTTGTCTTTATGTATGAGGGCTCTACAAAGAGGAAAACTAGAGGTGTCTGACTGACTTATTAAGGCAGACATAACGACGTGTAACTTCAAACTGATTGAAACAAAAACCCAATTTCGTAAGGATGCATACTCACAAGCTGTCTCAGCAGCAAGCACTGTTGGCTCCTCGTAACCAGGGGTGTATTTGGAGATCGTTGAGTGAAAGCAGCCCATCAAAAGGCGGAAATAATAAAATGCTGTTAACGAACAATATATCCAAGATAGTTGGACTTCATCGAACAACCACCTGACAATAGAAATACAACATCAGCATGAATGCATCACCACCAGGGAGTTAAGCAATTAAGTTAGATATAATTTGCCAGGTCAAAATAAAAACAGTGGGAAAAAAGCAGAATAGAATTAAAAGCTAAGGTAGATCCATCATAATATCAAGCTTTGCACCCTCCTTAAGAGGGCTCTGAAACTATATAGTTGTGCTACTTTATCAGTTTCAGGATAATCACCATGACATCAAATGTATCGCTTTCTTAAATTAGCTAAACACAAGAATAGAGAAAAAAATTATACACATTTTCTAGCTCTATACTAATTGCCTTGACTCATGGTAACCTTTAGATGTTTAAGACTTAAAACTGTAGATCTACATGATCTTCAAACATAAGAGTAGTAAAACGCGTAGAACTTAGTTCAAATTACATCCAAATTACGCACCAAGAACTTACTTCAAAACCAACAATCTTATTTCTTCAGCAGATTATGGCAAGTGGCCTCACTATAGCATTCTGTTTTCGCAATTAATCTACTTAACGGTGATAATGCAAAGATTTGGTTATGACATTAACAATTTTTTTCGGGGTCACAATCAAAATGAGCTATTAATAGGTATGGAACTAAAATAGCATAGCTCTCAAAGAAAAATGAGGATGATTCTAAACAGAAGAAGACATTAACACACAGATGAAAAGGCTGTTTGCATTTAGAAAGTTTAAGGGGCCAATAGCAATTAGCATAGGAACATTTTTAAGTCACAAAGTCATAGGGGGGCCAACTATATAAAGGGAAAGAATAGAAAAGCCAACTGCATTGAAAGGCAATATATAATTATATTTATTTTTCTTGATGAATATCAAGAAGTCACAATGCGTAAGCAAATCTAATCTCTTCTCATTAGCTCCTTGGAGTGTTGTGAATAATTTAAAAACTTGATTATTACAAGAAAATTCCAAACATATACAACTGATTCAAACCTGGTCTGACCAACCTAGTTAAATTTCATAATGTTGAGGGTGAAAAAAACAATAGGTACCAAAATGGCAAATTTTAAAGTAGAAGGGTAATTAAGCGGCGGATTAAATGTGAAATCCATGGTACAAGAATGATGCTTCCACAAGCCTAGCCATGATCAATAAAAAAGTAATCTTTAGCTATTAATTGAGGAAGAACAAAAGCAGGAATCAGGAAACTTAAACTAGATCTTTTTTGTCATTGATTCATGGGAGTCTATCAGAATGAAGAAAATATGGCTCATTCCAAAAGGAAATTAAAGAAGCATAGAAGCTTGCAAATTAAATGGAAGAAAGACAAACAGAGAGATTTCTGAAAGATATTTTTACCTAATATTGCAGTGTTCTTTAAATTTGTGAAGCCCAAGTTCATTAAGGGCAAATATTTATAACCGTTTTCATTCTTAGTTAGGCAGCACGTGGTGCACTAAGCTTTCGTTATGTGCGGGGTTCGGGGAAGGGCCGAACCACAAGGGTCTATTGTATATTTCTGCAAGAGGTTGTTTACACGGCTCGAACCCGTGACCTTCTAGTCACGTGGCAGCAACTTTACCAATTACGCCAAGGCTCCCCAATGCACTAAGCTCCTACTATGCACGGGGTCTGGGAAGTATGGACTACAAGAGTCTATTGTACGCAGTCTTACCCTTTTTACAAGAGGCTGTTTTCACGATTGGATTTGTAACCAGTCATATGGCAGCAACTTTACCAGTTACGCCAAGATTCCCGTTAAAGCCACAGTCATACTAGTTTAAGCTGGAAAGGGAATAAACGATGAGAAAAAGTGACAAATGACGCATCAGACAGACATGATAAAAGAAACATTAGGTAATGAAGGAATGTGGCAAACAGAGATCCCAAAAAACTAGGTAATATATAAAAGGCTAAAGAGGGAGAGACACGAGTTACTTACCCTGAAGAAAGAGGGCGAATAATAGAGGATCTAGGGAAAGCTGCAATTTCACAAACTCCACCACTTCAAGCGCGTATTATTATACTACTCATTTCCTGTCAGGCTGCAGCCTTAGATCGATTCCTTTTTGTTTCAAAATATACTCATCTTTTTGTCCTTTTCAAGCGCACGTATATACATTGCGTAGGTAGTACTATTATTCTAGACTAGGCTCCGGGTTTAGATTTGCTTGGCGTGCTAACGTTTAATGGTTCCTACTTGGAATAGCAACAATTGCGTGAAGCGAGGAGGCAGTAAATAGAATTGTATTTAAGGTAAATATCTATATTTTAGAGAGATTTTAGGGTTTAAGTCACTCTTTAGAGGGGTTTTATTCAATTGTAATTCATCCCAAATCAATAAGAATTCTCTCTCTAATTTTCTATGCAATACTTCTTCTTTTATTGTTTTATAACACGTTATCAACCCGAGACTCCAATCAATTGAGTAAAGACTTTGGGATACGTGCATGATGCTCAACTTGTACATAGTATCGAGTATAATGATTGTCAATTGTTCCATGAACTTCCTTTAGGTAAACTTTGGATATAAGATAAGTATTTTACCTTATTTTTCTCTTTTAAATTCTTGAAATTCTATAATTTGATTTTTAATACAAGTAAAGACAATAATTTTGATTATAACTCTAATAGAGTTTTTAAGAAATTATAACCACCCAAAGTGGTAAAATTTTTATGTCTTGCCATGATCAAATTCATGTATGATTATGAGCACAAGAAGTGGAAACTCGTCCCGTTGAATTGGCTTCATTCTCGTTCCCATAAGAGAATGTGGTAGCAATATGTAATAAATCTGAAAGAAGATAAAATTATTATCGTGAAGGTATCAATGGATGTGGACGTGGCAATAGACAAAATTATAATCGTCATCATTGTAGTTATGAGAATAATAAGATTCTCAAAATAATCCCCCACTTTGTGAAAGTAATGTTTGTCATCGATTTGACAAGAGATTTTGTAAAGTACATATAGATGATTATGGTCCATTCATAATGTGAATGTGACAACATGTGTTTATGAATACATATTTATTCTTGAAAGAATAAAACGTGCTAGTGGTAGTGAATATACCACACTCCCCTCTAGAAGGATGTTTGAGAGGAAATAAAAAAATAATGTCATTATTATGGCATGAATGATCACTGGTCACGTACCTATTATACGCCAAAATATTTTGGCAATGTGATTATTAAAGGACAACAGTGATGCAAGAAATATATCTTGCATATAATTTTGACCATGGCCATAATGGTATAACTTTCTCTTTGAGAGAGATATTCACCATATGGATGTTGATGAATATATGGTAGTACTAAATTAATTGAGAGCTCCAGAAGAGCCAATCATTACTATTTTGGAGGAATACAATTGATTATGATCATGTCAACTTATTGTGCCGTAATAAGTCTCAAAGAAACTTATTCAGTTTGCAAAGTAAACGCGAAAGCAGTTGATTATATTGAGACAATAAATAAAGGAAAGATTTAATATCTTCTATTACTACAACTTGTAGCGGGGTAATATGTATGTGAAAAGCTACCCGCTTTATTCTCCAGTTTGTACTACATAAATAAAATAATGCCACAATAAAGTAAACTTTATTGATATAAAAATATATATCATAATAAACTTGGCGTTTATTGATAATTTGCACACGTCATGGTGTAAACCTGAAGTTTATCAATATTGATAATTTATCCAATTGGCATTATTGATTTAGCCATTAAGTATGATGTGCAAAAATAAAAGAGAATTCACATGGCTAAGTATTAAAGAACTAGAAACTTCTGTACGAATTCTCTTATGTTGTTTGCTCTCACTAATTAATTAATAGACCAACTAAAATTGGGATTGAATCCCATGAATGCTGGAAATATCAAAGGTGAATTTGCGCCCATTCACCTGTCATGTATACCACACAACATGCATCTGTGAGATGGTTACATGTGCGATTATTATTAACCCGCAACCTGGTATTTGCGAGGTAACTTGCTCAATAATTTAATTTAGAACATAATTTCCAAATTTTCTATTCAAGACAGTTCATCTTAATAAGTGGGTTTGCATCACAGTTGATTTAGCAAAATAATTTATTGAGTGCCTCCACTTAATAGCTAAATTATTGCTTATGAGAACAAAGTTATCTATATCAGTTTGATATAGGTTATATACGAAAGTATATTACATTCTCCCCTCACAAGAGGTTCAGGGTCAGGAACCAAATAATTATTATTATTTATGTGCGGTGTATATTTTGATTAACACCATAATGCACAAAAGTGAGTTTCCAGAGTTGAGGAAGTGTGATGACCATAGGTCATCTTATGTTTTAGAACCTAATTCTGTGCTTTGAAGCCTAAAATACCTTATTTTAGCCCTCCTCGATTTGCGTGCATAGCCTGGGTATTTTTCCGAAAAGTTTTTATGTTAAAAGCTGATAAAAATATGAAATTTTTGCATTGAAATCCATTTGAGTTGACTTCGGTCAACATTTTGAGCAAATGGACCCGAATTCGTGTTTTGACGGTCCTGGTGGGTTCATATCATGATTTGAGACTTGGGTGTATGCCCGAAATTGAATTAGGAAGTCCCTAGCCAGAGTTATTGCACTTTGTTGAAATTTGAAAGTTTAAAAGCCTAATGACTTTGAAAGTTTGACCAATGTTTGACTTTATTGATATCGGGTCAGTATTTTGATTCCGAAATCCAGTATAGGTCCATTACTATATTTATGACTTGTGTGTCAAATTTGGGGAGAAACGGAGTTGGTTTGACGTGATTCGGATGTCCGGTTGTGAAAATAGGAGTTCATGAGTTTTCTTGAAAATTTCCTTTGATTTGATGCTCAATTCATAGTTCTAAGTTTTATTTTGGCGATTTGATCGCACGAGCAAGTTCGTATGATGTTTTTAAACTTGTGTGTATGTTTGGTTTGGAGTCCCGAGGGCTCGGGTGAGTATCGGAGAGGCTACGTAGTGTTTTTGAACTTAACTATTGTTGTATCAGGTCTGCAGACTTCGCATTTGTGAGGTCTGGCTCGCAAATGTGAGCCTCGCATTTGCGAAGGAAACATCACATTTGTGAGTAGTGGGCTGGGGGTGGACTTTCGCAATTACGAGATTTGACGTCGCATTTGCGATCCCCACAGGTCCGCATTTGCGAACATTATGTTCGCATTTGCGAAGGCAGCAGGAATGGTCACTCTTTGCATTTGCGAAGATTTGTTCGCATTTGCGGGTTTGCAAATGCAAACCCCAGGTCGCAAAAGCGACTTCTGCAACTGATCAAATAGCTTAAGAAAATGGAATTTTCACTCATTCTTCAAATTTTCAAAACAAAAAAATCCTAGAGGCGATTTTTCCAAGCACCCTTCTTCCCCAAATCATTGTTAAGTGATCCTAACTTATTTTCTTTCAATCTTTCATTACATTTCACAAGTTTTTAACCTAAAATCTAGTGTTTTCATGGTGGAAATTTGCGGGTTTGGGTAGAATTAGGTATTTTTGTAAAATTGGGATTTAGACCTCAAATTGAGGTCGGATTCCAAAACAAATTACATAACCGGGCTCGGGGGTAAATGGGTAATCGGGTTTTCGTTTGAATTTCGGGTTTGGACCAAGTGGGCCCGAGAGTTGACTTTTTCAATAATGACCTAAATTGAATTATTTGCAATCGTGGATAGTTCCTAAGGCTTAACTTGAATTGTTTGGTTGGTAATTTGCTAGATTCTATTGGTTCGGAGGCTTGTTTGAAAGGCAAAGCCGTGGTTGAGCTTTAATTGATCCTTGGAGCGAGGTAAGTGTCGTGGTTAACCTTGACTTGAAGGACTAGGACTTGTTTGTCTATTTGCTACATGTCTAATTGTTGGGAACAACGTATATGTGAGGTGACGAGTACTTATGCGTTGTGGTAGGGTTAAAGCATGCGGGTGGGACTTGTTTGTTGTAATTATTGCTTACTTTGATCATGTTA